CCTAGCTTGCAAAGAAGTTGGGGTTGCACTTGGCCTTGTCACATTTGGTATAATGAAGGTGTCTTCTCTAGGCCTAGACATATTAGAGCATAGGATTGTTTGTGGCATTGGAGGCCAGTTTGCTTGTGAATAAGTTTTGGTTTTGGTCTTGTCTCTATGTGACATGTAATTGGTGTCCTGGACACATAGTGCCCCTTCTAGGGCCTCTAGTGATGGTTGGTTGAACAAAATTATGAGGTGGATGAAACTGCAAATGTAAGTATTAAACAATTGTATCTGATAATATATGTGTAGGTTGGTAGATGTGTTAAGAAAATGAAGCAAGGAATGTAATAGGATAACTTACATTGGCAGGATTGAAGTATTTGGGTTGGGAAGTCTATAAGGAGGTCTGTTGAGACTTCATATCCTAAGTCTCTATATATCTCTGACTGAAGCGTTGTCTTCTTAATCTTAGGATCATCTTTAATCCTACCCATATATCTTTCAGAAAGAAAAGTTAAAGTTATGTTTTTGTTAGAGAAACCTTTTTGAACATGAATGACTAGGAGTGTAGCTTTTGATTTGAAAAGTATTTTCACCCTGCATCACAAAAGCAAACAACCTCTAACTGCAACCTTGCTTGCACTTAGCAGACAACCTGATCCTATCATTCTTCCTTATCTTACATTTATATGACCCTAGGACTCCACATTTTTGTATAGCTTTCTTTAACACCTTTTTACTTGGAAATTTCATCCCAACATCGAATTATGGGTTTTCCATATCAGTGTCAACATTAAACTTTTTGCATCTACGACCATGTCCTTCTTCATCAGAGTTCAGTGGCTAATGTAATTCATCTAAGTTATACTGCTTCTCATCCATGTTCAAATCCTCAACCTGTATATCCGCTTCCCAATTGTTTTTTTTTTTGTTTCTTACTGCATCCAGTGAAACTCTCTGGTGTACCTGCATTGTCATTGAAATTGTCATCTTCAACCATTGCATCATTATCTTCATCATATAAGGAACTGTCTGTATCAGAATCACCAGTGTCACCATCATTATCGCTTTCCTCATAAAAGGAATTCTCTGTATCCGATTTTTGCTCACCATCACCATCATATTCACACTCTTTGGTTTGTGTTGGTACATCATAATAATATTGAGGTTGACCATGATACAAAGCAATGCTCTCTTCTTGAAATAAGAATTCATTGCTAAAACCATTTCGGCAATACCTGTTTTCATCAACCTGACTAAACAATTCCGCAAGGAATTCATTAAATGATTCTTCATAATTTATTTGAGCTTGTGATAATGGTGGTTGGGTTAAATCCTCAATAACTTGACGAAAATTTGCACACATAAACAAAATATGCATTATTGTTAAAGAAAGGCATACGCCGATTACATAATGCTATGGTTATTAGAAAAGAAAAAAAAACATCTAAATTCAAAGGAGCTAACTTTGGTAGTCATGGTTTCATATGACAAGTTGCAACCAATAAAAACCAAGTAAAATGATATCCTTATTTCCCTACCCAGTCTACCAAGCCATCTCAATTATAAAAGCACACAACAAATCCAACAAGTCATACCCTAGACCCTAACAATATTGAAAGCTGAAGACGATCGTCACCTTGATTGTTTGGTTCAATTTGTCTACTTGTCATCTTCTCTGGAGTAGTCACCAAAATCTCAATTGGCAACCCCACAAATTCTGACCTAATGGATGAACCCTAAATCGCATAGTATTCAAGTGGGTGAAACGAAGCGTCAATTCTTAAAGATATGCATTGCATATGTTTAGTGGGTTTACAATAAAATTACGTTTTTGTCCTCTCACGTGCCTAGCACATGTTAATTTTAACAGTCCTTTAACAGATTGTCTTGAATTGACTAACAGATATAAACACATGGACCAATTTGACCGAATTGAAAACATAGGGATTAAATTGGCCGATAAATTAAAACATAGGGACCATGTTGACATTTAAGCCTATTTATTATTATTATTATTATTATTATTATTATTATTAAACATATCCACCTAAAACAAAAAAAAAACTATATATAAGTAAATACCTAAGTGAAATTATTAAATTTCAAAAAATATATTAGCTAGGGGCCCATTTATTCGCCTCTAATAGTTGAAACTAATAGCAGCAATTTTTGTTTCGCCCCTATTACTTCTATTAGAGGCAGATTCATACATTCGTTCCTAATGCAAAGTAATAGAAGCAAATCCATATTTTTGCCCTAATCTACCTCCCCTAATAGTCAATATTCTTGTAGTGATGATGTGATTTCATGGAATGAGAGTGCCACAAAGTTGGTATCTCAAGTCAATCACGAGCTATCATGTCGAAGACTTAAAATGCATGAGCATGTTCGATTGACTCGATATACTGCTATAATGGAATCTCCATAATAGGTAAGTGATATGTCGATAAAAATTGGTGAAATTATCAATATGATTTGTAACAGAAATAAATGTGATGTTTAATTGACTTGATATACTGCTATGTTGGAATCTCCATTATAATAAGTGACTTGTCGAGAAAAAGCCACTGAAATTAACAATATGATTTGTATTAGAAATAAAATTTTGAGGCCCCAGTGTGATGTTGGTGGTGGCTCATGGCTCTCCAAATTCCAAAGGGTAGATGGTGGTAGGTTTGTTTCTTATTAGTTGATAAACCATACACTATATGAGTGGGTTGGTAGCTCAAAACTATATTGGTTGTTGGATTAAGGTTAATGAGTCTAATAGTTCCTCTTAATGATAATTAAACAATATTTGTTTAGAATTTGAGAATAAGGTCACACTCATGAATCATCACAAAGTGATTAACTATTCTCACCAACCCCCTTAAACCCGATTCACATTCCCTCTAGCTTATTTGACTTGAAGTTCTCTACTTGCTTTTAGCTTTTGCTTGGTAAAAAAGCAACTTTTTAACAGCAAATAAAAAAGGGTAACAAAAATGCTTTTGATATATTTGGCAACACTTTTGCAAGGCTTTTTTATACAAGATTTGGTGGCATCTGAAACCGTCACCAATACTGCTTTTTAGTTATTTTGGCTGGTGGGAGATTTTTACTATAAAAACTCAGGCGGGATGCCTGACACGTCATTCGTGGAATAATATATCTTACGAAAGCATGAAACTTCTATAGTTTTGTTTTACCGAATCTTATTCTAGTCTAGTATCCTTGTCAAAAGAGAGATTTTTCAGAGTGCCAGAAATACGGCTTGTAACACAATTGGCTGTAAACTTTAAAAAAAAAAAATTTAAACTAATAGTATTACTGTATTATGACACTTGATATATCAGGTCGTATTCCCGGTATTGAAAAATTTTTCCTACCAAAATTTATATCGATTTTGACGGAGAAGGATCCGACTGTTCATCATACATCGTAGGGTCAGAAATCATTTCAAATTTTAAAATTTAAAATTAAATATAAATAGTACCTAACGAAAACTGACTGCACAATATATAATGAACGATCACAATCTCGAGAATCTTAGGATTCCAAAAAAAAGATCCGACGAGGATACTTTTACGACTTTGACGAAGCACAGGAGTCTCTCTTTTTCAGTGAGCATCCTTTTGGAGTGGACCAAGAATCCAAGAAAACAAAGGAATGCTGCAATATAAAGCAACATCATGAAACACACTTCCATTATTTCTCAAGGGCTTCTTTTAGGCTCTTTTTTGATGTCTTGATAGTCCCCATTCGTCACGAAGAAAATAATTATTGCTCATCATAAAGATGGTTAAAAAAACTTCATTCAAGTGGTCCATATCTTACTTGACTTGGAAAGGTGAGAGGGTAGGAAATGTACAACACGTGGAAAGGTATTTTATATTTGGGGTGTGCTATCCACACACCTCTTTTTACTTCTCTCACATCCCTTGTTAATTTCTGTCATTTGATCTTCTTCAATTCATCCAATCCAACGGCTAGAAATTAAACATTTGTGAGAGAAGTAAAAATTGGTGTGTGGATATCACATCCCTTATATCTTTAGTTAGAGCAATTTTCCGTTGCAAAATGAGTTGAGTGATGGTAGCTGCCCCTAGTGGGCATATGATGCCTCCATCCATGGGCCCAGGAGTCCGTTACATCATGGTCTGATGGCTCGGCCCTACAAAAATACCGCCAGATTAAAAGCAAGTTGGTTGAGATGGTTTGTATATGATGCCACGATGGAATGTATTTTGAATTGTTGTCCGAAAACAAAAAAGAAAATCACATTAATACAGGTAGATGAAGATGATGATACTCACGAACACTTCATCAATTGGGCAAGTAAGTTTTGGTAGCTTAAATCACATTTTGGTATGTGGTAGGCACCTGTTTCTAAGGTGGGTGGATTTGTTTTTCACATGCTTTTTCTGGTGCTCAGTTCCCATCTGTCACCATACAAGAAATTTTTAGTTGTGACGAAAACACAAATGGTATACCACGTGTTTTAATAGGAATGGTGGGAAATTTTATTTTTTAAATTATTAACTTTTTAGCACACATATCCCACTATTTATTTAGTAACACGTGGTGTATCACTTCGTGTACTGATCACACTGAAAAATCTCTTGTCACCATACAATCATTTTCAGGCCTCAATAATTTGGTTAAAGGAGAGGCGGCGCAGAAGAACTTGTACATTTGCAGAATGCATTCATTGGGCCCCATATGTTGCCGACAGTTTTGCCTTGAGAAAACCAGAGCCCATTATTGGCCCAACAAATTTTTCAGTTGCCTGAGATGGGCTATTATATGGGCCTTTTTGGGCCAAATTTTTATATGTGGATCCCAATTTCTGGAGTTAGGATATACCTACATCCTCGGGATGGTACAGTGGCGTTATGAACCAATAATACGATGTCATGTGTTTTAAGTTACTCACATGACATCACGTTATTGGTTTGAAACACTACCACCTTCCCATCCCAGTTTCATGTAAGTCCTTCATTTTGTATGCCAAAGAGAGGGTTAAAGGAACATCAACAAGAAAAGAAATTGAGATTGGAATATGAAGCAAAAGAATAAACAAATTTGTTGTTCCCGGAAGGGCCATAAACACAACGAAAGCGGTCAACCAGCTCACAAACAGCTCACAAAAAAACTGAACCAACAATGTTAAAAGAGATCAAACCGGATCACAAAATTTTCAAGAGTCTAACCCCGAACTGTTTTGAATTGCACGATCTAAAGCTCGGTGTCACATAAACGAATCATCAGTCCTGAAACCATTCTTCGAGCAAAAGGAATGTAACTCAGGCTGTACCTGAAACAGTTCAGCCGTATATAAGTTGTCTGGGTGAGCCATTAGTATCCATATTATGTTTATAAACTAAGATGTTACAAGGTAGACAAGCTGGAAGTTTTTTCCAGATGGGTGACATGGCACAAAGTGCAAATAATATTCGGCTACTTTGACATTGAATTCGGAAAAAGCACAGGGTGCATACCCTTTTGCATTTTTTCACCGAAGTGGAAAATAAAATATGGTAAAATAGGCGAACATGAAAGGGGAACTTACCAAATAAGGGCGCAAATCTCACATATGATTGCAATTATTGTTAAAATCTTGCTACGGATCTGCAAGATGACGAGGTAAATGTCAAGATTTCAATTCAGTCCAATAGATCAATGTATTCGGAAAGATCCAATAATCATGTACTGTGATGATAAATTGACATGTGTAGTGGGCACGAGCCAGTAAGCGGGAGGCTGTGAAGACAAGAAGTTGAAAGAAAGGAAGAGTCAACCAACATAACCACCTTGCTAGCATCACTCAGAAACACAATATTTTAGTTTATACATATTGAAGGTGGATTGTTGGACAATTGTGGCCATTAGGGATGAAAAAGTGTCGAATCAGGAACCGCGTGGGCTCACATATATACAGTATAGAAGTTAGAACCATCTCCCTTTAATTACCACGACTTACTGAGAATCAGACCCCAAAAAATATCCGAAGTTGTAGCTTTCACTCAAATTTCTCCATAATATCATAGGATAAAGATTTCATACTAACCAAGAGAGCGCAAATGAGTGCTAGAACAACACATCCAAGGTAAATAGCTGTTGCAAACACTCGAACAGTATCAAACATCATTCTCAATTGTCGTGCAGGGCCAAACAGGAAAGCTGTGCTGCCAAACAAGAATACAGGTTAGCATCTGAACGACTGTGATGAATTTTAGTCAAACTCAGTCGGAGACACATGCACAAGAAAAAAAAGGTAATTTAAACAAGCTTGAGGAATAACAGTAGAACTAATGCCATCACAAACCGATTCATATTGACCTACCTTCCAACTGCCAACAAATTGCCGAAGGTGAACAAAACGGCAAATTTGATGGGTTTGGCAAAGACAATCATCGACTGCCAAAGAAGCAAAAGTTGTAAGGAAATGAAGTAACAAAACATCGTAAGCAAAAGTTACTTTTCTCATAATTAAGTTGCAACTCCCCATACTTGGTTGCATTATTCTCCCAGTATTACAAAATGGAGATGGAAAGTTCCTCTCATGCATAACTAATCATACAAGAAACCGGCTTTAGCTGAACAAGAAGCAGAAACGAGTTTAAAATCGCCCGATTCGTGCCCATGAATAGAGCTTTCTTTCCTTATCAACAACATTCATGTCGAAAAAGAAATTAAATTCCAATATAGTGAGTGTACATACACAATTACATATTAACTCCACCCTGAAACTCCAACAATTTCACCAAAACACAATGAATCATATGTCGAAAAAACCAATTTCCAATTTCTCTCCCACTATATATAATTCAGTACACCAACAATGCACATTCAAAACAAAATTCAGTAAATAATAAGAACAAAAATTAAAAATTAAATACATAGAGCCTGGAGGGGTGAAGAATTCACATACCAGGAACATACAAAGCATCCCAGCCAAGAAACAAGCTGCAAACGCGTACATTCTCTGATCAACTCAAAAACCCACATACCCAAAAGCAATGTCAAGCTAAAAACAAAGAAATATAGCAAAAATCACACTAAAAATTGAAACTTTATTTGCTATATAAATTGGAACCTGAGTAGCAGAGAGATTAAACAAGCCCTCAGATTCTTCATCCAGTAAGCTCTCTCCTCCCTCTTCATTGTCTCCGAGGACAGATTGGTTCAGCTTCCCCCACATTTTCCCACAAATTAGCCGATATCCCTTCTCTCTCTCTCTCTCTCTCCCTCCCTCCCTCCCTCTCTATCCCTCTCTCTCTCCTCCTCACTCTGCAAGTTTCAACGGCTTCGAGGAGCTTTACAGCCTGCAGCACAAAATACTGAGAAAATTCGGGGTTTTATTAAAAAAACAAAAGAAGAAATTAAAGGGAAATTGCTCAAAGGACCAACTTGATTTTTCACTTTGTGCATTTACACCACCAGAAGAAAAATTAAGGTCTCAAAATTAGACCTTCGTCTAATTTTTATTTTGCTAAATGAGCACACGACTTGCATGTAAGCCCTTTTTAGAGGTCATTTTTTCTCTCATGCATTCCCAAGTGCAGTGACGTTTTTGTCAAAAAAGATTCTCCTATTCTTGTACATATAATATTACATACAAACCTATTCCCCGCACAAGTTTTTCATCATTTTCTATACAAAAATTCTAAAACAAATAAACATATGATACACAATCGATAAACTTAACAGTTGTGTTACATTTTCTATAAACTCCTTAACAAGAATAAACTTATAAAACACGGGTCAGAGACTTGTGAATCGATGAAAATGGCCCTCAAAAATTACCCTCGTACAAGTCAGGCTCTCATATTTGACGAAACTGTGGATGATAAATGTCTGGGCGGTTGATTATAAAACTTTTCAGTTTGAAGGGTAAATTCACAAGAGTCAAGAAGTTTAGTACCTTTTTTGCAATTTCTCAAGAAAATATTCCTCTTTTCAACGGCCAGGTGGCAGGAGCAGTGTTACTTCTGCAACCGCCTTACTGTAAAATGGCCTCCCTCAAACGATGATAAAACGCTGTCGTTTGCGTATCACCGGTTCCTTCTCACTCTAAAAATTTGGGGAGAGAGAGAGAGAGAGAGGCCCAAAGCCCTAGCTCCTCCGTTTGGCAGAGAAGATGTCGTCGACGCTGCTGGAGCAGACACGTGCAGCTCACGAGGAGGTGGAGCGGCTGGAGCGGCTGATAGTGAAGGACTTCATGAACGAGCCGCCGTCCAGCAAGGACCGCTTGTACCAGGGCCACCGCGTCCGCCAGCTGATCGACACCATCACCTCCACCACCGAAAAACTTGTACGTATTATTCCCTTCCGTTTCTTCACTTCCTACACTCTGTGGGATTGCGACTGTACGGAATGTGTGTGGATTCTTTGGAATTTAGGTTTTTTAATTGCGGAAACTCTAGGGCTAGGGTTTATGATTTTGACTGCGAATTGGGGGGTTTCTGTGTGTGTGTGTTTTCAGATTGAGATCTATGAAGATAAAGATAATGCGAGGAAGGACGAGATTGCGGCTCTCGGAGGCCAGACTGCCACTGGCACCAACGTTTTCAGCGCATTTTATGATAGATTGAAGGAGGTATTTCTTTCTTTCTCTTCGTTTTGTCTGTCGATTTTGTTGTATGAAAAAGTTAATAGTTTTGATAGTAATGGTGTTTACTACTTTGGGGATTTTTGAAGTGGGAGCTTTATTCATTTAAGGTGAGGCTTGTGTCGAAATCTGTGTTTTGCGTGTACGAGTGTGCGCTTTGCGTTCTGATTTTCTAAAACGAGAAGTCCGAGTACTTGGTAGTTTATCGATGAGTATCAATTAGTAGGTGTGCCTTGGATTTTAAGTTTTTTGGTGTAATGTTTGCCATACGTGCAGATTCGTGAGTATCACCGAAAGCATCCAGTTGCTCGTGTTGTTGATGCTAATGAGGAAGAAGAAGCACTGCTTAAGGAGGAGCCTCAAATCGAGTTCAGTGGAGAGGTCACTATCTCTCTCTCTCTTTCCCTGTCTCTGTGTTTATTTCTCTGTATCTATCTCTATGTGTATGCATGCCTGTGTAAACTATGCTTGAAGTTACAAAGACGAGTGAACTTAGATTGATTCAGTTATTTTGCTTCCACACAAGATGTGGAAATATTGATCCGTAAAATGCTACTTCTTTGTTGTTTGTTTGTTCCTGTTGACAGTAACTGTGTAGTTAGGCAAATAATACAGAAATGGGTATATCTGGTTATCATCTTTGTTTATTCAGGTTATTTAGTTGTTACATTTATACTTTCCTATCCTTTCATTAATTTGTTTAGTTCTGTTTTTAGGAAGCTTTTGGACGATACCTTGACTTGCATGAACTATACAACCAGTATATTAATTCCAAATTTGGAGAACCTATTGAGTACTCTGCTTACCTTGATACTATTTCACAACCACAAAAGATTCCTCGCAAGCTGAAGTCGTCAAGGTGAAGTGTTATATTATTTTCTTCCACCGTTGCTTTTAATTCATGTACATGAAATTTGGGAATGACTTTGTTTTATTTTTTTCAGGCAGTACAGGGAATATATGGAAAATCTACTCGCATATCTGATATATTTTTTCCAGAGGACAGAGCCTTTGCAAGATCTTGACAGGATATTTTTGAAGGTTCATATCAATACTATCTTCTTTACTTGTATTAGTGTGATGCAACAGCATCAATTTAGTCTTGTTCTTATAGGAAAGTGAATCAGAAATATATATTTATCATTCTTAATAGTTTCCAGTTATGAATTTTCTTAGGTTTGAATGTAATAATTCACTAGTACTCTAGTAAATTTGCACGAAATAATGATAAACATCGCAGTTGAGCATACCTTGTTATATTTTAATGATTTGAAGGCTTGAATTACAATTGACCGTAGTAGTAATTCATGTTATACATGGGTGTTAACAATGTTAACAATCTCTACGAATGTGTGTGTATGTATGAAGCCAATTTATCATTGTTACCTTTGTCTTTGTGAACTTAATGTTTTTAGTTGAATGGGCTTTTGTAAATACATTTATGCATGATTTGATATAATTCCATGGTATCTATGAACCTGGACTGTGGTTGGATTTGGAATTTTGAACGATGGAATTTTTTTTTTGGTAGGTTGAAACTGAATTTGAAGAGCAATGGGCAGATGGTAAGGTAAAAGGATGGGAAAATGAGAAGCAAGAAAATGGGCATGTTCAAGATCAGCTTACTATGATTGATCTTGATTATTATAGCACGGTGGAAGAACTTATGGAAGTGGGTCCGGAAAAGCTAAAGGAGGTAAGGGTGACATTTATGACCTAAAGAGAAAAGTTATTGCCAAATATTATACCTTAAATGCACACAGCTTGAGGTAAAAAGTTACTAAATAATGATTATTAAAAGCTCCAAAGTAACTTGTTAATGAATACAAATGTTTTAGTATTAGTGAGACATAAGAAGGGAATGGGAAAAGTGGAGAGGAGTTAGGGAATAGGGTTTCGTTCTGTCTTCATTTTAGAAATTCAAAATCGATAGTTACCAGAATTACTTGCGCAGTCTTTCACATGTGTTTGAAAATGAATTAAAAATTCTTGTAATCAATAAATTTTGTTAGATGTGTGTGGAATTATAGAACTAGAACGAATTTAATGTCACCCAAAAAAATATAAGCCAAGTTCAATACTATGTTTAAAACACATCTTAAGCGAGCTCTATGTATTTGTTTCTTACAAAATACAAAAGAAACTTACCTTGTATTATCTCTTTAATTTTTCTTCCAGGCACTAGCATCATTAGGACTGAAGACGGGTGGTACTGTTCAGCAGCGTGCAGAGAGGCTTTTCCTTACAAAGGTGATTGTTATGTAACTTTTTCTCCGAGAAAAGTGGCCTATATTATATGTGCTTGTACATTCTCTGTTCTTGTTGTGATGGGGATCAATAAGACTATTAAATTAGCCAGAAATCAGGATGCCCTAGCTTACCCAAATCATTGCACTGCATGCATTGTTAATGATGTATTATCCACAAATATGAATCCTTATGGAAACCTGTCTGATAATTTGACATCCTTTTCACTGTTTCTGATAAAATTTCCATTCCACGTATTACTTAAATCTCTTTGTTTATGTTACGCAGGACACACCTCTGGAGAAGTTGGACAAGAAACATTTTGCCAAAGGTTCGCATGGTGCTGAACAAAATGGGGCTGCTGCAGCTCCACAACAAGTTGACAATTTAAAAGAAATTGCTTTATTGGAGGCTAAAACGAAAAAATTATGCGACTTACTGAGTGAGGTTGGCATATGTTTACTAATTTTCTACTCTCACATGTTTGTGTCTGTAGTCTGTTTTTAATGGCCCACTTCTATTGTTTTTGAGTTTGAATATCAGTGCACATTTACAAAAAATAATCGGTGGAAATTGTGCAGGCTATTGAAAGAACAAGAGACAACATCATGAAGAAACAGGCTTTGACATATGAAGAAATTGAAGCAGAACGTGAAGAGGTAAGAAATCACCCCCTAAAGAAATATGCTGACATCAATGAAACCATATGGTTAGTTTTCTTTGTTGGATCACATTTGTAGTGGTTTTGTAACAAATGCTTTGATTGGGTTTTTGATTCCTCACAGGAAGAGACGCAGGCCGATACTGAAAGTGATGATGATGAACAACAGATTTACAATCCACTGAAATTGCCAATGGGTTGGGATGGGAAGCCCATTCCGTACTGGCTGTATAAGCTTCATGGTCTTGGTCAGGTAAGCTAATTTTATTTTGCAGAATGATTTAGTTCTACATATGTTCTTGTTTCCCGCTAGGATGTGAATCATGTTACTTCCAAGGTCCCTGGGGACTATTTTACGTGTGAGATTTGCGGAATTAAAGGTCAGGTGATTGCAACTCTATCCATGCATTTCAGGAATTCAAGTGTGAGATTTGCGGGAATTACAGTTACTGGGGACGTAGAGCTTTCGAGAGACATTTTAAGGAATGGCGCCATCAGCATGGTATGCGTTGCCTTGGCATACCGAACACCAAGAACTTCAATGAGATCACATCAATTGAGGTATATTCTTTTCCGAATAATTCGCTAGCTTGGTATTTTACAGAAGTCTAAACCATTTCACTATGCAGGAGGCTAAAGAACTCTGGAAGAGGATACAAGCACGACAAGGTGTGAACAAGTGGCGCCCGGATCTTGAAGAGGAGTACGAAGACAGAGAGGGTAACATATACAATAAGAAGACATACACCGATCTGCAGCGACAGGGACTGATTTAAAGAATGCAGCTGTTTGGTGTTATATCATTCTTTGCTTGACGTTATGTAATGATGCGGAGTGGGGTTGTGCCAACCTAGCCATAGTCTCTGGGTTGCAAAGCGGTTGAGAGGGGGCCGGTGAGATTGTAGGATTTTTGTAGCGAAGAGTGACGAAAAGTATAAGATCTCGATGTTATGTAGCATTTGAAAGCACATCAACCCTTCTACTGCCGCTAGAATCTGTTGTGTATATTCTATCTTTATGGAGTTGCTTCGTGTTTTTTTCGCTCAGTCTGACCCTCGGTTTGATACTGAGGTGATTCTAAAAGAAGTGGCTATCAAAAAAAGCTGGGAGCTTTTTAATGTTTGGTAAACATTCAGCTTCAGTTTTTTTTCACAGTTTTGGGTGAAAAAAAAAAAACCAAAAACACAAATCTACAAAACTCAGCTTTGAAAAATCAGCTTTTTTTCTTTTCAAAAGCACTTTTATTAAAAAGTTTATCACTCTTCTGTTTTATTTTACAGCTGCTTATTCTCACAGCACAGCAGAAAAATATTTTTTCAAAGCACAACAATACCGAACCAGCTCGGGATGTTTTAGTTGCATGTGAGACCATGAGCTTGCTCGTGCTCGTGCTCGTGTTCGCGTTAGATGTTAATGGAAATCATAGAGAAGGAATAGATGTGGTTTCTCCGAATTGCTATCACTAACAAAAGAGACGACAACTTGATAATTAAACTCGGAACAATTGTTATTTAACAACTTTCATCGAAACCAGACCGTGTAAAAAAGAGTGCAGAACCATTTACCCCACGAAGGACGAGCAGTCTGGAGTCGACGTATGTTCCACACGCGAGCTTCGACAAATCGAACATTTCAGGCGGGACTTGTATTCGAATTTCTTGAACTACATTTCCTGCGCTATTGAGATTTTTACTCAATGGATCACCGAGATTCAGTGTTACATCATCAACGCCGCTTGAAAGGAGTTTTGCCACTGGCAGGCTTGACGGAGATTCCTTAAATGGGAGTGCTTTCCTCCACTTTCCACCTGATAATTTCTGAGCAAAGGCGTCGCGAGCATTAGATGGGCTGAAGGAGAGTTGTCCTGTGCTATTTTCTTCTTCCTTGAGATATAACCGTCTCCCGGCCATTAATCTAAATAAAGAGTTTACTTGCAGTTTCCCCTCTACACCAGTCTTGTCATGGGGCCAGTTCTTGCCGGTCATGACTGTGAAGCCAATGTCAGAGGTAAACGACAGGTTCATGTTCAACTTCGATATGCTTGATACAGTTAGGTGTACATGGCCAATGAGGACTTGTTCAGGAGGTTGCCGAAAGGTTAAACCAATGTGCCTTCCAGTACAGTACAACAGACGCCACTTTCCTGGCAGCAATTCCAGCCAATTCTGCATGTTCAAAATATACAAGAAAAAGAATAGAGTGAGGATAATAAGAGGCGAGAGTATGGAATGTTGTCGAGCAATAGCCAAGCAAGAGACACGTGAAAGAACACATAGTTCACTACCTTTGGCCTTGAATGAGGATTTAGCATCTCCATTAACTCGATGAAGTGAGATAGCCTGCTACGCTGAAACATAAAACTATACAGTCAAGTAAATTTCCCAATCACCAAGTTTCTGCATTCACAAATTATGACAACGAGATTTACTCACTCAGTGACTCGTATGAAAAAAGTTCATATATGTTGGAATAGAAACCATATACCTGAGGCTGGCCGTAAATATATTCTTCTGAGATTCGCATTGCAGTTGAGCCAAGTCCCCATCTGATGACATCAATGGATGGGACTACCCGCCACCGAGGACCACATAGAAATGGGTGTGTAAGAGCATCTAAGCAACTGTGAAGCATTTTAAAAGGATAATTGTATTTGGAATTAGTTCTCTCCATAAGAACACTTCACTTGAAGAGTATCTGCCTCACATATGAACCGTTGCATACCTTACTCTTTTAGAAGGTTTTGTTGCTAGCAACAAGGATAAAAGGTTCCACCCTGCACCCCAATTCCTATCAAGTATCTGCAAGAAAGATAATAAACGAAAAGGCTTCACCAAAATGGGAAGGGGTCTTGAATTCACAGTAAGTTGCACTGAAGGCACAGTACTTACTTGCAGTCCAGCATTTCCAGATGAGGAATTTCTATGGAGTATTTGCAATAAAAATTCACGCAAGCATGAAGGGTCATTTCCCTGAATTTGCACAATTGATAAAATTAGGCGTTAGAATCCATCAACCAAAGACCAAATTAGGAAAAGTTTGCATTATACCTTTGTGAGAAATGACTTGAACTTTGCGAATATAACAGGATCCATAAGTTCCTGCAGCACCATTTTTGCCACCATGAATCCAAGACATCTGTGCAACACGTATTGAACAAAATGAACATTCAGATCCAGCAGAGCAATCAACGTGAAACTTCTTACAAATATCTCTTTGTCATCTCCAAATTGTACCTCATGTCAAATGCAATCATCATTTGTCGCCTATCCAAGTTATTATCCATAGTTCCATCTGGGCGATCCTCATAAAAGTCAGCAGCACTACCTAATATTCCTACCTGATAGGAGAGAAATTCATTACACATAAAAAAGATTCATAAATAGGAGGGAAGTGTTCTTATCAGATTACATATTATAGATCACGTAACTCGTTAGTATCTATAAAAAAACACTGGAGCTCACTTTAATGTGTCTATCCACTGGACTTATGTGCACGTTCTCCAGCCTCAATTCCGTGTGGGCAAGTCCATGGCTGTGCAAGTAGTTCACCTGAGTTGAAATAAGCATTTGAAATATCAAAATCCATCATTTTCTTGACCGAAAATAATAGGCACTCATTACTAAAGGAATCATACATACTCCGATTAAGAGATCTCTCATCAATATTCTAGTCATTCGTAGTTGCCGAGAAACTGCAGATCCTCCAACTGTGTCATCTCCCACTTTTCTAACAGATTCCTTGTCCAATGCAAGAGTAGCCTCCAAGGTTGGGAGCCAATCCGATTGTTGTAGCCAATGTCTTAAAGAAAAACTACCATGATACTGCAACAAAAAAAATATTTATCAGTTCTCTCTGTGTTAGTAGATCAGATGATCAAATGATTCAGAGAAGAAAGTTTTCAGGTCTACTTTGTTCAACCCACATGCTATCTAAGTAGAATTCATGATACAAAAGGGACATACCCCATGGACCAGAGTGAATGAGGAACGACCACTACTTGTAGCTGAAGAGATGTAACCATGCACTTGCATTGAATAAGAATGGTACATGAGTCTACGACGAGCTAACTTCTTTAACACCTGATGACATCAATGATTCAATAGTAAAGAATTAGAATCGAATAAAACGGAGCCTTACATAACAAAGTATAACAATTTAACGCGTCCACAGACCTCTATTGCTCGTCTACCCCTACGCTGAGCACGAACACTAGTAAGACGTCGAAGTACAACTTGTGTATTATACAAAGGGCTGCAATTTCATAATACGAATCATCAAGATTGATCTTGCAGAAAAATGTCATTATCAAAACAAAAGTAAACTTACCTATCAGTATCCTTTACTATAGCTTCAAAAACTACTTCGCCTGCCTACAGAAAAAAAAGCTCGGATCATTTAGACAACAACGAAATCAACGGATCACAGGTATAACAATAGCGCTTGCATAAAAGTACAACCGCTTCATACCCGACCACCAAGGCCAGCACTAACACGGTCAAGAATCTTGAAATCAGAGATCTTGAACCTTATGACATGCCCTGAATCTTCCTCCACAGGAACAGACAAGTCACTTGGAGCATTCTCCTCCATTTTCAGCGATGAACAACGGACTCCCAAACACGGTCTCCTCTTCCAATCCGATGTCTTTCCAATGGTCCGCATAAGGCTCGGTCTGATCAGTCTTGTCGACAAGTTTCCACTAACACAAACTACTTCAAAACTTTCAAAACTTGGACTCAAGCCAACCCCACATAGCGCCATTAATCGAGCTTAAAACGCCACGTAACAAAAAAGAAGATGATATCAGTTTCTGAAACTTCTCAATTAAGAAGCATGTTGGAACACAACCTTTAATTAATAAACTTCTATGATCAAGTACTTCATACCGTTCCGGTTTAATCAATTGGTTCCATAATCCAACTCAATTAGGTCCGAATTATTCATTTCCAGCATTACTTTTCTTTCCCGTTCAATTTTCTCACCAGCCAAACAAAACAAGTTCCAACACAATTCTTCCTCAATCAATCATAAAAACTGAAGATTTCGAAAGAAATCAAATCGAAAAGCGCATAGCTTTCACATTTTTCAATTCCAGCTCCCCAAAAGAAACTGCAATCTTCGAAAACTAATTCAGCTCCAATTAAACTAAAAAGTCATTTTTCTTGACAGTTATTGTGAATTAAGTAGAAGTCCGGCAAAACTATTGAATCGAAACCAAAAAGTTCCACAATTTTATGAATTTTCTCAGCAACCAAACACTCAAAAGCTACAAAATTTAAGAGGGAAAATCCATACAAAGGAGCGGAATTTCGCAGGACTTACCGGAAAATATTGAAAAAGGAGGCCACGGCGGTGTTAACTGTTCCTGAGAAATGAAGTTGTAAAGGAGAGGAAGAGAGTGTATGTATATATGTATGTATAGGTGTATGTGTATATGATTGCGAGCTTGAGGAGGAAAGCGGTGCGCGCGTGGAGGAGGAGAGTTGCGTGTGCGACAGACTGGGCGAAGCGTTTCGCCATGGGTTTGTCGCACGTCTACGTCCCGCCCCTCCGAATATCTTGTGGCTTTCGTCTTTGTTTCATCGCGGCCGTTCGTTAATGTATGCCGATCATGAAACGACGGTTCTGATTCGATTGAATTTAATCGGCGTTGGAATCTAAGTTTAAGCAGATGTGGACAACCTCGATGTCAGTTTTTTGTTCCGTTATTGAAGTTATAATAGACCTAAAGTAATACAAATTATATGAGAAAAGTTTGAGCTCGATTTGGATACAGTGTTTGAAATTTCTTAAAACGGTCATTATTTTTGTGAAAATATTGGAAAAATCAAAGAAAAATTTGAGAGGATGAAGTCTAAACTTAATAAGATTTTGGAGAAACTTTTAAATTTCGGCTAAAATCGATAAATTTTGTCGATACTTATGAATTCAGAAATATCAGTTAAATATCGACCAACTGCCACATGACATTCCTTAAATTTCATTTTTGTCACAGCCCGTCCCGGAGGTACTGTTGACGGGAATATGAAATGGCGGGAATGCCCTTGTCGTTACTAAGGTACGTGTGTGAGATTTTATTGGTTTAAATATGATGCAAGGGTATTAGAAAATATTTTGAAAGATGGATTTTGTTATGTATGATTAGGATGAAATGGAGGGTGTGGATTAGTTTGGACCACACAAGACCTCCCTCTCTCCCTCTCCTTCCCCCGTGCTTTTCCTGTCTCTGTCTCTCTCGACTTCGCACCCACACACACACCCATCGTAAGGCACACACCCAAACCCTCCAAAAACTCGACGGATCGAGGCAAATAAGGTATGTATCTTCATCGTCTCGACGTCCTGAGTTCATTGGTACTAGTTTTAGGAAGTGAAACCTTCGATTTCACGTGGATCCCGAACCTCCATTTTTGAGGTACTGTTCATGCAGTCGTTAAATGTCGCGTTTCAGGGAATTTCAAGCTTGTGGCGAGCTTTAGGAGGTCCTAAGGAAGCTCGGGAACGTTCGTTGGAGAGTTTTGGACGTCGGGATCGTGGGTTTCAAGGTTGGCCGAATCTTTGGTTTTTGCAAGGTGAGATTTCTTGGTTTTTAGGCCCTAAAACTAGTCCAACGTGATAATACACTCTTAGGGCTTCAAATTGGTATAAAATTCGAAGAAAATGGGTGAAAAACGAAGGAGAATAAGGAGTTTGAAAATCGGCCAGAGGTTGGCTGGAGTCCGGCCGCCGGAAAAACCAGTCCGGCGAGCCTTTGGAGAAGATGACACGTGCGGCGCGTGTCCTGCGCGTGGCCGCGCGTAGGGCCGAGCCCTAGCCGGCGCGTGAGGGCGCGTGGGGAGTCCAAATTGAGTTCTAAAAATTTCTCGACGCTCGTGACGTCGAGTAGGTCAATATGGTATATTCATATACCCAAATTGAGCATCGTATGAGAAATTATTTCGAATTATTGGTGATATGTTTAAAATTAACGTTTTTATAGTTATTTCGCATATAGGTGAGACGTATCACGAGGACGACCGCATCCAGGGACGCCACGGGGGTTACGACCCGTCGACTTATCAGTAAGTGGGCAGTTTTGTTTTCGTATTACCTTTATACTATTGATTTTTCCCAGAAAATGAATTTAAGTGAAAATATGTTTTTAAATGCCATGCATAGAATTATTTGAAAATGTGAATTGTTATATGAATTACATGATTGATATATGATGCATACATATTGCATGGTGCTGTGGAGGCACAGGTAAGTCAGGTGAGTTCATTTATTCATTGAATTATTTGATGTTGAGATAAATTGAGCTCATAATCTGCACCCTAGGTGTTAGTGCTTATGTTATTCACCACACCGCATGCTCGCCTTGGATCCAAGTAGGTGGATGTCGTACAGACCATGTGAGGGTTCCGACATGCCAGTCGTACAGACCATTAGAGGGGTTCCGACTGGTGAGTGACCTTAGATATGCGCGCTGATGATATGATGAGAGAAGCACTAGAGCGTATTTTTACACCTTTCATCGTATAGACTACCTTACGTAGTTCCGAGTGATGTGCAGAGTAGGGCCGTACAGGTCACTGTGGTGACTCCGGCTTAGTGGGATTTGAGCTATTGAATTAATCGTATAGGACCAACTGCAGGGTCTCCGATTGATTCCTTATTTCACCTGATTTATATTTTGATTTATGGCATGACATGGCATGTTTTCTTGAAAATGTTAAAGATTTGGGATTTAAGTTTTGAGATTTTATATGGTTATATATATTTCTGGGAAAGTATACAGGTTTTTACGGCGAGGGGATATAATTGTTTTAATGAACTGTTTTGGAAAACTAAATTGTTTTACTGACCCACTCAATTTTGTTTTGCGTCCCTCCAGGTTCTAGTTTAGCGGTGGTTGGCTCACGAGGTTTTTTCCGGCTTTCTGACAGACTTTCGACATGTAGGACTCACCTGAGGGTGATGTATCTTATTTTAGTCCTACTTGACTGCAGTTAACCTATGCTCTGAACTTATGTGTTTACCCTATGACTCGTCTGGTTATGTTTAAGTTGGTTTGAATTTCTGCTGTTTAATATTGTTTCCGCTTCCGTGTCGTGCTTATGGTTACGTCACGCCTACGTGACGGCCAGCACACCTGGATCCTCCGGATCGGGGTGTGTCAATTTTAAATGTCCATGTTTTTAGCACATTTCCATCATTTACAGCGAAAACAATTAATATGTCCATCAATATTTTCATAAATTTACATATCGGGTTATGTATAAGAGTGTGGCCAACTAAAATTTCTCAAACACTCGGGTCATCTTTCATTGTCAAGTTAATTTCATCTTTTCATTATACAATGATATTAAAGGTAAGAGTGTGGCCAACTAAAATTTCTCAAACACTCGGGTCATCTTTCATTGTCAAGTTAATTTCATCTTTTCAATATACAATGATATTAAAGGTTAGGAATTTCCAAAATCACGATCACAAGATTCCTAGAATATTCTTACGTCGATGAATAGTTCTGCTGGGAGGTTTGGCATGTTGAGTTTCGAACTTGGGACTTGGGAGGGCAGCTGTAATTTTTTTTTTAATTTCACCATTTTTTTTTCTTTTTAAATTTGTGGTCTTCTTTGTTGTTGGTATGTTAAGCATTTTAGTACACAACTTATAATTTATTTGGATGTGTTTTTAAAATGACTGAAAATGCTTTTAGATAAAATGTTTTTTGATTCCAAAAGCACTTAGACCTAGTTTGGGAGTGAGGTGCTTAAAAAAAAGCACCCATGAAAAAAAGCTGTGAGGGTTTTAGGTGTTTGGTAAACTGAAAAAAAATGGCTTATTTTGGAAGCTGCTGTGAGAATAAGCTTAAATCAAAGGAAAAAGCTGAAGCTGCTATTTGCAACTTTGGAAAAATGGTTTTTTTTCAAAGCACACGGAGCTACAGTGCTTCTTTAATGAAAAGACCCACTATTTGACTGTTTTTTTTTTCCAAAAGCACTTTTATAAAAAAGTTTACCAAACACTCTGCTGATTTATTTTACAGCCGCTTATTCTCACAGCACAGCCGCTTATTTTCACAGCAGTTTTTTTTCAAAGCACAGCAATACCAAACCAGCCCTTAGTGCTTTTTGCAAGAAGCACCAGTTATGTGCTTCTTCCAGGAAGCACTTTAAGTGCTTTTCCATAATTTACTTGCATTTTTACTAAGGATTGGTTCCAAAAACATTTTCACTAAAAACGCTTTCAGTCATTTTAAAAGCACATCCAAACAAGCTCTTATTTGACAGACATTCACAGTCACACGCATTAATATTTATTTATCGAAAATTATTATTACTTTTAATGCAAAACAACAAAGAGATATAGGAGATGTCAAAAAATGCACAAAGCTTGACAGAAAAATGATAGAAGAGCAATACTCAATTCTTCGTTACCATAAAATTATAATTCCAAATTGTCTCCTTTAGCATATCAAACTTGTGCCAAAACATCTTCATCAATGCAAATACAACTCCCTAAGCCACTGAAACATATTAAATGACAATTGTTTCACCTAAGCCACTGAAACATTTAAAACACAACTTACAATGCATCAAAATTACTACAAGACATTACATCACAACCTAAGATACATGAATCTCAAATTAATAATTAATGGAATGGCTGAACACCAAAATACCCGGTTGAAAAACTCCTTATGCACTGCATCAACTTTTGTCTACATGGAGTTTTGTTTCCTTTTTGATTTTATTTTTGTTTTTAAAGATGGACAATTAGTGGCAAACCATAATTATTCATCAATTCCAGGAGTTGGGGAAATTGTTTCCTTTTTTGGGTAATACTTATATTTCAACGAACCATTTATTGGGTTACCTGTTAAGAACTCGTTAACGAATCGAATCGTTATTAAGTCAGGTGTTAAAAACCTGACAAGATATCGTTTGCATTAGGCATGATAATTTTTTAAGCAACCCGTTAACTCAATACAAAACGACGTTATCTAGTCACCTATTAATAATCCGTTAAAATAACGGGTTTGACACAACACGCTCCATTAAAATAACAAGGAAAATACAAAAACAACAAAAACACGACCCATATACAGGCGTATCGATGAGTTATTAACAACTTGGAAGAAAAAAAAAACCCCAACAAAAAGAAAAAAACTCAAAAGGAAAAGATAAGTATTGTTTCTTGATTTTATTTTTTCAGGTAGGAAACTATGGAATCAGAGGAATCCCGATCGGAATCGAAATAAACGGAAAATGGGAAGGGCAATCGCGTCAGATAAAAAACACAAAAACTGTCCACCAAGTCGTCTCCGAGTCTCATTTACTCTCTCCAAATCCGATAAACCAACAAGAAACAGAAGCCTCGCCTCTCTCTCTCTCTCTCTCTCTCTCTCTCTCTCTCTCTCTCTTCATTTTTTAACATCACATGTTTTTCCACATTTATCCCCAGCCGACGCCCACTCCCTCTGTCTCAGCCGTAATTTTCACCATTTTCGATCCCAATCTCACACCTTCTATCCCCCGGCGATCCGCCCTCTCCGCCGCCGCCCGCTCTTTCCTTCCGGTTAGGTTTTTTATTAAATTTTATTTTCTAGGCTTGGTTTAACCTTTAGGAATTAGGGTTTCCAATTTTGCACATTGGATTGGAGCATTCGGTTTCGTTACAATTAGGGTTTCAATCTCCAATCTGATCACTGGATCTATCTCGGCGATTTGAATCTGGGATTTCCGCTATTCGGTTTGGGACTTCAATTTTTCGTTAGGGTTTTTTGAAATTTTGAATTTTGTTGAGATTTTGATACTGTTTGAGGATTCAAGATTAGGGTTTTGAGTACTTCGCAGTGATGACGAGGAGTTCAAGGCACAAATCAAGCAAGCATAGCTCGAGGGATGCCAGGGAGTATTCGGATTCGGAGAAAGATTCGAGCTTAAAGGATCGAAAGGGCAAGGAAGAGAGTGGTGTAGTTAGGGTTTCAAAGGATTCAAGTTCAAGTGAGAAGCGGAAGCTTGATTTAAAGGATGGGAAGGACTCGGGAGGCGGCTCCGGGAATGGGGAATATTCGGTGGATTTAGTATCGACTAAGCGGCGCAAGGAGAGGCTTGATGATGGAGGGAGTGATAGGTGGAATGGAGGCGATGATGATCACCGAAGAAGCAGTGAGGGGTCAAAGAAGTCGTTGAAGGCATCAGGGGAGTCCAAGAGTAAGAAAAGAGATGAGAGTGTGGAATTGTATGCAGAGGGTGGCGAAGTGAAGAAGAATTCTAGTAGTAGTGGAAAGGGTGAAGGGAGGCATAGGGATAGGGATAGGGATAGGGATAAGGAGTCAATTCGAAAGGAGGGCAAGGAAGGTGGTGGAGCAGAGAGGGAGAAGGAAAGGGACAGGGAAAAGGAGAGGGACAGGGAGAGAGAAAGGGAAAAGAAAGGTAAAGATGGGAGAACCGAGCGATTGGTCAGTAGCGACGAACAACGTGTCACTGCAAAGCAAGTCAATGAAAAAACTGGTAAGGTAACTGATTGGGGTGTTTGTTATTTTGTAGTTTATACGTCTATATGGATTCTTTTCCAGCAGTGTGTTACTTAGCATGACTAGTTTACTGTGTAGACATATGCTTACAGTTTTACTACCCCTCCCCCACTTTTCCGGCCAAGAGAATGTTGATAACTTTGCACTTATTTTACTTCATCGTAGTTTACTGTGATTTAGTGTGATGAATTACAATATAGTACACCATTATGGTGCATCCGATCCATCTTTGTTTGATTGTAGTACTATATTTCTGAACTGTCATATCATACAATACAGAATGCTGACTCTGATAGGGAATCCATTTTCAAAAAAGCAAAGCAAATTGGAAACAGCTTATGAAGAATTTGTTGGCATATCTAGTTGCTTAGAATTAAAATTCTCTTTCTATCCATCTATGTAGTGATTTCTGCGTGTCATTGTAATGTGATTCTTTTCATTGTTTACTTTGCTAGAATATTTATACGCTTTTCACAAATAATTTATGGTGGAAATTGAACTCTGATGGGGGTTAGAGATTAGATAAGAGGAATAAAATTTTTGGAGCATGCTGTATTTGATCGGCAAGATTTTTTAGCACAATTTGAAAGGAAAATATATTTGAGTTCATTGAAGTCAGATTCATGACTTTTGAAAGGTGATCCATCTTGGTAAAATTTGGATTTTGTTATATTGCATAACGTAGGTGGGAGTGGTACCAAATGGAAAGACTAACTTTGAATACGTTCTCTTCAAACGCAGTCACACATACACTTAAAATCATAATACTATCCTTAACGTGTGAAAGTTTTTACATAGATCTTAATGCTTCATTTTGCAGTTGGTGGATAGATCTTACTCTGTTGAATAGATATATAGATTGAACTTGATATACAGATTGAACTGGAGTGATGATGTAAAAGGGGTTGCTATTATGGCTTTTTGTAACATCTCATATCTATTGGAAGCTGCAGTCTGCCTTAATCGTGGGACCTACCGCTGTCTTTGAATATTAGTAATTATGTTCCTTGTCATTATTAGTTTCATAGTCACTTAAAAGAGGTTGGGCTCACTATGCTAATTTTTCCTTTACCGTTATGCTCCATTGTACTTTCTATTCCCAAATTTATGATGGATGCAACATCTGGGGAAATGATCCACATGACTGCTTGAGGTATAGTGGGATTGTCTGACCTATTAGTTGCCATATTCTCATTGGTCTACTTGATGTGGCCGTTTCACCTCTAGATTTTGGAATTATTACTCATCTTTTATACCTTAAAGGTTCCAGTAAGACTGTATTTGCAGGGGTGATCCTATCAAGTCTGTGCAGATAACCTCTCTTCTATCACCTTCTGAATGTTTTTTAATGCCCATATGTGAATCGAGGGGGGATCGAAACGTACTCTTGAGAAGTTTGGAGGTGTAGCTGTTTTCTTTAATTTTCACTAATTCTGGAGTGATTATGATTTTCATCTTTATGACACTTTGGTTGGCTTGTTAATGGTTGTTTCCCTTGGGGAAGATGTGGATGTTTTGAGCCAGGTTTGCATTTCTCATATTTATAGGTTTTATGAGTTATCGTTGTATTACTTGTGTGGTTGAATATGGTCTTTCCCTTGTCAGTCATTAAAATCTCGTAATCATGTTTATTGATTCAGTTTCTTAATTGCTCTTTTCCACATCTTTTGTTATTTTAATTGTTTTTTCTTAAAATGTTTATTAGCACAAGGGCTTATCCTGTCGGCTGTTTTAATAATTGTTATAATCATTAACTGATTTTCATTTTAGTTAACATTCAATATTTGTTTGGAATGGAACTAGATGTATGAAGGCACCAATTATGTGTGTCAATTGCTGGATTAATTGCTAAGATATGAATTATTGCTGTTAATGAAGAGGCAAAGAGATCAGATCATTAACTGATTTTCATTATTTTTTTCCGCATGATTCTTCAGTAAGACACAGTAAAAGCCATTGGAATATTATTTTGTTTCATGCAAAATATAATTTATGTGTTGGACCAATAAAAATTTGTATGTATCGTTTACCCTATGCCAAATGACGTATGTTGTTTTGAGATATGTAAAAAATATTTAGTGGTACATAACACGTGTGACCAAAAGCTAAAAAGGCTTCCAAATGACACGTATCTGGCTTCAACATAATCTTTAGGGGGCATGTAGTATTAATGAGTTGACAATATTCATTAGTATGTAGATGACTTTGCTAAAACTAAACTTTATGTTCACAGTTTTATTTTGGAGTGCAATTCTATGTCTTATTTCATGTGGTTTTGCAGATTTAAATGCATGGGATGAATTGGAGAGTCCTGACTCAGAGAACCAGATTGAGAGACGAATGAGGAAAAGGAGAGATGATTTTGGTGATGGGGATAAGCATCAAGATGATGTGGAAGACATCATTGACGGGCTATTATCTTATAGGGATGATTCTGGCAGGGATAGCAGGCATAAAGATGAGAAGCGGAAGGATGAGAGATACAGAGAAAAACATCGGGAAGATGTGGATAAGGACAATAAGCACCGAGATGACAAGCAAAGAGATGAGCGCCCTCCAAAAGATTATGCTAGCAGCAAGTCTGATGAGAAGCATTTAAAGGATGAAAAGGATTTGATAGAAATCCAACAGAAGAGATCCAAGATTCAAGATGGTGAACGCAAAGTAGATCATGATCGCGATCGTGATCGCAATAGGGACCGTGACTCATATCATGTCCGTGATCGCGACCGCTACCATGATCGTGAACGTGAACATGGGTGGGATCATGGTCGTGACCGTGATTATGATCGTGATTGGGATTGGGACCGTGAGCGGGAGCGAGATGGGGACCGCGAGCGAGACCGCAATCATGATCGTGATCGGGGCCGAGACCGTGATAGAGATGGTGATCGAGATCGCGATAGGGATTATGACCGGGACTATGACGGGTCACATATTGATGATCGCAGCACGAGATACAAAGATAGTAGCAGGGGAAAGAAAAGATCTCCGGATGATCGTGATGATGGTAGTGATAAATCCAGAGGTATGAAAGCTCGGTACTCTGACTTGGAAAAAAAGTCATCCATTGGTGATAGAGTTGAGTCAGATGCTAATAAGGGAAGATCTCAGTTGCGGCAAGCTTATGTAGACACTAAATTGAGTGTCAATAAACGCAGGACTTCCCTCGTTTCTATTTCACATGGTGGCATAGATGAGTACAGGTGCCTCTCTCTCTCTCTCTCTCTCTCTAGTTCTGTATGCAATAGTTTCATGGTTGGAAAGGAAATACTGTGATTGTGTTTAACCTTTTCATTTTTTGATGCATTTTTGTATTTTATGCTAATATGTCATTATTTTTTTCCTGGTCCAAGGTATCTAAATTCAGAAGATTTGAAATATAGGGATTCTGGAGTAGAGCATAGGTCCAAAGCAATGCCTCCCAAAGATGGTTCTGGTCCCACTGGAGTTTCAGAAAGAGGTTCCAAGTACAGATCCATGGAGAAACCCAATAAAATGGATGATGGCCATTTCGGCGAGCTGTCAAATGACAAGTCTTCAAGTTCCAAGGCTTCACCCCTGCCCTTGATGGAAAGGTCTCCTTCATCATCAAGTATTGACCGCAGGTACATGAACAGAACTGGTGTCAGGCAGAGTCTTGACATTGAAGAAACAGGTCGAAGAAGCAGTGCTTCAGTGGACAACAGAGATTTCTCTAATACTGAGGATAGACTGGGTCGGGACCTGCCATCAGAGAAGCCTTTGGCAGATGATTCATCCCCAGCTGATTCGTCAGCTAACAATAGAAGTAATCAGAGTAATTTATCTTCTTTGTATCCCCCTCACCCCAATTTTAGGGTCGGAGTTGACAGCCCTTTTATTGGTTCAATGGAAGAAGAAGGTAGAGGTAACTCCAGTTCACGTTACAGGAGGAGTAATGATCCCAATTTGGTTCGAGGGCATGGTAATGCGTGGAGGGGTGTCCCAAGCTGGAATTCACCTGTTCCAAATGGCTTCATGCATTTCCAACATGGGGCACCTCACGGTGGTTTTCAAGGGATGCTACCACAGTTTCCAGCTCCAACAATTTTTGGTGTTAGACCTTCAATGGATATTAACCACTCTGGGATGCCTTATCATATGCCTGACGCTGAGAGATTTTCCAATCACTTGCGGCCACTTGGGTGGCAGAATATGATGGATGGTTCAGGTCCTTCTCACTTGCATCTATGGGATGGGAGTAATGGTGCCTTTAGGGATGAGACTCACATGTATGGCGGTGCCGAATGGGATCAAAGCAGGCATCCAATGAATGCTCGCGGATGGGAATCTGGTGGTGAGACATGGAAAGTACATAACAATGATGTGAAAAGGGACTTGCCTTCCCCAGCACAGAAAGATGATTATCTTGTGCAGGCTGCCATGGATGATGCTGTGGCTTGGAAGACAGGTCAGATGTCTCTCCATGAGGATAACCTGGATCCTGGAGTTTCGAAAACCGTTGAAAGAAGGTCCACTGTGACCTCTCCTTTAAAGGAGCCTATGCCTAAAAGTAGTCACGAGAAGTCACCTGGCCGCTCTAAATTTCAGAGTGATGATGTCCTCTCTTTAAGTCATTATTATCTTTCCAAGCTTGACATTTCATCAGAACTTGCTCATCCCGAGGTGTATAGCCAGTGTATGAGCATACTGGATAGTGAACGAAGTGCAACTGTTGATGAAGATGCTACTACACATACAATTTTGGAGGTGCAGATTCCTTCCAAAACTTAGTTTAGAGCGTTTTGATTTGAGAACCTAGTCTTACTAATTGCATCTTCCTCTTAATGTCACAGGGTGTAAGAGCAGGATTGAAATCGTCCAGAACCTTATTAAGTTCCTCACTTTTTCCTCCTTTGAAGGATTTTGTCTTTCAGGTATGCTTGAATTTCTTGCTTACATAATTGCAGGTATTAATCTTTATGTATTTGCATCCTAGTTGACTGACATTTTATTTTCTGACTTGCAGAAAGCGATGAATCTTTACAAGAAGCAGAGGATGGAAACTATAGGCTTCCCAATTATTGCTGGAGGAGCATTGGATATTATTTTAGCATCTGATCCGGAGAATATGGAATCAAAAGACCGTTGTGGTGTGGAGAAAGTAGAGGGAGTAGTCCTGACTTCTGATGCAGAAATGGAAGGTGCTCGTGTCCTGACTTCTGATGTAGGAATGGCAGATGCTCCTCTTGGCACTGCATTGGGTGATGGTGCTGAGAACCTGGAGGTACCAGTTTCATCTCCGAATCACGAGGTGCAGAACGACACATGCGTCCCTTCTCCTATTTTGGAAATGGCAGCTGGAGATAATGGTGGAAGCAAAGCAGGAGATCCCCATACAATTCCAAATGGGGTGGAAATAGAATCCTCGGAGCAGGTGAAATTAGAGGTCGGCGATGCAAATGGTTTCTCATCACCTGGTATCGAGTCTCTTGCTACCACCACTTTACCTGCAGCTGCCAACGACAATGCGATTAGCAAGACTAAAGATGATAATCCAATTGATCAGGCTTCTACCGAAGGCGCGGCTGATGCAGTAACTGGTCCTTTAATAATACCCGAGGGTTCCCAAAAGGCTTGTGAGGCTTTGATGCCGGGGTCTAATGAGTCTGATTCGGTAATTTTAAGTCGGATACATCATTCTCCTGAAAGTACACATTGAACAATTTCTTCTATATCCATGTTTTTTACGGTTCCTTTTATTGCATTTCAGTTAATCATGCTCATCTTATTTTCTGTGGCTTCTCACTTCAGCAAGGAAATAAAATCAAAATTTCGGTTTTCCGGCTCGTCGAGCTTTGCCCGGAGTCTTGTTTTCTTCCAGCCCTTGACTTTGCTGCGTTTCGTTTTACTGTTGATTGTCTTGCATTGTCGCCATTTTCTTCGACTTCGATAATTTGTTGCTTGAATTTCTTGCATGGTGTGTTTTCTGCTTCTACCTGGCTTTTGTATAGTCCACACACACGCACACACACACACACGTGCAGTAACTTGTGGAGTTTGTGTTTCTTAGGACGTGTGTGAAATTCGTTAGGTTTTTTAGCCAAAATGGTCATTGAGATTTGCATAACTTCTCACTTTGGTCATCGAGATTTGAAATAGATAGAATTGGTCTTTAAGTTTGTCCACAATCAATCATTTTGGTCATTCCGTGAAAAATCTCCATAAAATAAGATTAAAATGATAAAAATACCCTCAATTTTGGTCAAATCATTTTGGGCTATTGTTTATTAAGTTGAGGGTAATTTTGTGATTTTGATCCTTATTTAACGTAATTTTCACTGAATGATCAAAATGATTGATGGTTGACAATCTCAGGGACCACTTCTATTGGTTTCAAATCTCAGGAATCAAAGTGAGGAGTTAACCAAATCTCATAGATCATTTTGACTAAAAGGCCAATTCGTTAAATGTCTTTAGATGTACAAATGAACATGATTTGGAGTGTATGTTACAAGGAACATGACCAATTCACCATTTGGAGATACAAAATTAACCAAAAAAGCCGACTGCCAATCCAATCAGTAACGGTAAAATATAACATCCGGCAAATATATGGAGTTCTGATCTGAAAACCTCTGTATGTTATCGATACCTTTGTCCTCAAGCCCTACGTAGTCATCTGCACCGCCTTCGTTTTCATCCTCGTCAAGAACCCCAGCTGCGATTCCCTCATTGAGACGCCTAGCTTCATCGGGCATGGACTTGGGGATCGCATAAGCTTTGTCGTCCTGATAATCGTGAAGCCCGACAAGAACGATATCATCTGCTGCAATCCAAACCTTCTTGTGTATCGTACTGCGGATGTGACAAAGTCTCTTCTTCCCAGCAATGCGCATGGCTTCACACCGGCCATTACCAAACATTCGGAGCACTTGGGCATACTCCTGTCCATCTTTCTTAAAGAAAAGCTCACCTTTTCGTCACCAGCCTCATTCTTGCCTCTCTTCCTGTTCTTTCCTCCCTAACCCTTGTTTCTCGGCATGATTACTAGCTCTGTTTCTCTGCTTTGTGAAGGGGCGAAACTTGCAGGTGGATTGGATTCGATGGAGGAGCACAATACAAGCAATAACGAGCAATAAATCCTAATAAACTTATAGAGAAAACTAAAGCAAACCCTAAACGTATGCGAGCAATAAATCCTAATAAACTTGACGGGCAAGCAATATAGTTTTTTTTTGGGTTAAAAAACAGGTAGGTAATGTAGTTTTGTTTTTGGGGTAAAAAAAGGTAATATAGTTTTGGGTCATCCTTGTTAACATCGGTAAATCGAAGCTTCATGCTTTCCTTTCCTTTTGGCCAATCAGTTTGTTTCCTGCATAGAAAAAAAGTAGTTGTCTTGGAAATGCTAAGCTTGTGCAATTTGGGACACAGACGACTATAAGTACCCTATAAGTATGTTACAAATACAATACTGCATTGCATTCTTCTCCAATCTCCCAAGGGGAAGAGCACAAACAAGAAGACGACGAAGACGTTGTTGAGATGGGGTTCACTGAAAAAGACTTTGATGCCTCACAGAACAGGATGATAGCCTTGCTTGAGGTTGCTAGGCTCGCTACCGAGGACCTGGTGCAGGAGGAGCTTATGAAGCAGAAGAGGAAGATCAAGAAGCCTATGCTGATCGATTGGGCGGCCAAGAAAAATAGGTCGTCGAATATTTCTTTCAAAAGAAACTGGGAGATGGTAGATGATCCTGGTGATGTTGGTTGGACGCCTGTGGAACTCAAGATGCAGAAGATGTCGTTGAAGAACAATAACAAGAAAGGCGCAGACACGATGAATATCGCTTTGAAGAAGAAAGAAACGATTAGTCCTTCTGCGCCACTTGGGTATCATGACTTGCCTGAAAAATTCAAGAGAGAAATTGAGAGGTTGGGCGGGACTAAAGTGGAGTTGGTGATAGAGAAACAATTGACCAAGACTGATCTACGTTCGGGTAGGATGTCAATGCCTCTAAACCAAATCGTTTCAATTAGTTTCTTGGAAGACGAAGATATGGAGATGCTTGAGAACGGTGAGACAATGACGGTTCGGTTGATAGACCCTGGTCTTGTACAAGGAGATATCAACTTGCGGCGGTTGGAAAAGAGAGAGGGGAAAAACCCGATATATGTTTTGAGGACTCAATGGGGGGATGTTGCTCGGAAAAACAAACTCAAAGCTGCCGATCTCGTTCAAGTTTGGTCGTTTCGGGTTAATCGAGCGCTTCACTTAGCCCTAGTTTTGGTTAAGAGCAGCAGTGTTGACGGCGATCGTCAGGAGATCATGGAAGAATGGAAGAGGTGGTGACAACAAAGGGAAGCTTGCAGTGGCATGCAGGAAACTAGAAGATAATTAAAGGCTTTTAGTTATACTTTTTTCAAACTTTTGGATTGGGATTTTAAGTTTGACTTCGTGGATCAAAGTTTGTTTGTAATCATTCAGTTTCCATTCAAGAAACATCTTAATTTTTTATGAAAAAGTGATTTATCGTTATTTTAAAACTTATTTCAGAATTAAGTTTCCTACATCTTTTAATTTTTATTTCTTCAATCTTCAAAATCAATAGAACACAAAAAATCTTTCGAGAATATCATGCATAAATTATTACTTACGAGTTTCATTTAATTTAAAGAAACAGAAAATAATCATCGTGAATATTGAGTTGCATGTTGACAAAGAAGCACTAGTAGAAATCTGGCCTAAGGCATTGATTTTCTATGACAATTTTGTCCTCAAAGGCCACAAAAGACCCACAGACTCCATGTCAGTGAAGTAGGAGTGTTGCTGATCATTTAGGCCCCAGATAACGGTACCTGTGGCCCTGTGGGACAATGTGACACAAGGGCCCACATAATTTTTACTAGCTAGTGCTTATGCTAGAAGATATTTTATGATTTAAAAAAATAATTTGCAAGGCTGATTGAAAAACATGAGTATAGTCACATTTTTTACGAAAAAAATGTCTTTTGAGTTTGAAAGTTTTAAGCCATTTGGAAGAAGTGTTCATACCATTCTTGAGTCTCATAAGTATTTTTCTTCTATTAAGTAATAATATGGCGTTGCATGTCATTGCTGCCTCTGTTGCTAGGGAGAATGGTAATTGTCCAGGAACTGAAGGTCCAGACATCTCCGAAATAGTTGCACGAATTACTAAGCGTCAATTCTTTCCTTATCTTTGTGGGCAAGCAGTTTGTTTCCTATATAGATACGGGTTTTTTTAGAAATTCCAAGTTCGATTAGTGTTATATTACCAGTGTTTCAGCAACTACTGTACCTAGTTTTGGAAGGATTCCTAAACCTATGCGGGTTTAATTTCCTAAAACCCTAAGATTCCTATAATTGAAGGGCACGCTTTTAGCCGATTAGTAATCCTAATCACACACTGATCGGTGCTGTAAAAACCGTATAAAATCTCAGTAAACCCCTGCAGGGTTAACCAGAATAATACATTTATATTTGTTCTAAGCTCTGTGCCATACTTCGCTTACCTCGTATCTTCTTCAATCTCTCGAAGAAGAAAAGGAAGAAGATAACATGGCGCGGTTATTAAGTGCAAAATACTTCGATGGCTTGACGGAGTGGCCTCAGAACTTTACCAAGTTCGACTGGTTAGTTACAATTGCTGGGGTTGAAGTTGAGATGCATACGCAGGAGGAGAAACTGATGGAGCGAAAGAGAGAAACTTTGATGAAAGAGAAGGCTCTCAAGCAGCCGATGCTAGTCGAGCCGCCCAAGAAACAAAGGTCGCCCCCTATCGGTTCTACAAGAACAGATTATTCGTTGAAAAGAAAATGGGCTAGCAATAGCATAAATGATGATCGTGCGCCGAAGATCCAAAGGTCGTGTGGTGGACCGAAAATTATTTTCCAAAGCATGTATCGTGGTGATGATGATCTTGGTAGGGGTGACCTGGGATGCAAGAAACAAAATGTGATGCCGAAGGACAAAGTCAAGAAAGCCAAGGGATCGACCAAGAACTCTCTGAAGACGAAAGAACCAATTGGTAGTCCTTCCACGCCACCGAAATATCACGACTTGCCTGACGAATTCAAGAGCGAAATTGCAAGGTTGGAGGGGACTAGGCTGAGCTTGGTGATACAGAAGCCATTGACTATGACTGATGTAAATCAGAACGACAACAGGCTGTCAATGCCTGAAGCTCAAATCGTATCCATGGATTTCTTGGAAGGTGCAGAGAAGGAGTTGCTTAAGGAAAATCAAACAATGTCGGTTCAGTTGATAGACCCTGGTCTTGTAAAAGGAGGTATAAACTTGAGACGGTGGCATATGAAAAAGAAACCGGATAACAATAGCAGCAAACCGGAGAAAAATGGCAGCATAATCTATGTGTTGAGAACTCAATGGGGTGCGGTTGCAAAGAGGAATAAACTCAAACCAGGTCAGCTTGTTCAGGTTTGGTCGTTCCGGGTTAATGGAGCGCTTTACTTGGCTCTGGTCTTGGTTAAGGAGAGTCGCGGTGAAGGTGATCATAAGGAGAGCGATGGCGGCCATAGCGGGGGTAAGAGTGGTGTTGTTGAGGGTGAAACTAGTGGCAGTAGTACTGGTATTGGTGGTAGCGGAGGAGGAAGTGAGATAATGGAAGAAAAGAAGGATGACAACAATGGGAATGCTAGTGGGGCAAGTACTGTGATCAATGGGTCGGACCATGCAAGTCCCAACCGTAGCGGAAGCAGGAAAGAAGATGCCGACGTCGAACCCAAACTCTAAACACTTAACTGTAAACTCACACGCCAAAAGATGAACTTTTTTTTATAAATCCTTAAATGTGTGCAAATAATTTTTTGGAATAAATTTTTTATTTCTTTGATATTAAGATTTTTTGGCTGCACTATATCACTTTGTTTCCCCTCAATGCTTGGGAATTAGTATTATAGTCTACTGATGAGTTTTTTTATTTTTTATTTTATTTTTTTATTATTTTTTTATGGTGCAAGTGCATTGAAATTTAGTCCAGTCCGAAAGAAGAAAACCTTGATTTTACTTGTTAGGTCAACATTTAAATTTTGTTATGTACACGAAATAAAATTAAACAAACTTGGAGAGGCAGCACCTTAATTATGTCCAACAATCCAGTACCACCAGAGAAAATAGGGTGTTCTACCTTCAGATCACGTCTGTATAACCATATACACAAGGTCAAAACCTTTTTATATTTTGTATCTTACAAAATCATTCATGATCACGCTCATAAAAGAGTGATACATACTGCTAGTCGGACATAAGAATTCCTTCTTTTTAATATCGTAATGATAAAAAAAAAAACGATCTCAAACCAACAAGACTCTCTACTTTGCAAAAAAAAAAAAAAAAAAAAAAACCGTCTATCGTAAAAAATTATGTATGCGCCTTACCATTTTGATATGACCTGAAAACTAGTACCAATTAAAATGGTAATGCATAAAAATAATTTTCTACAAGTCCATGTGTGGATGGGTAAAGTTGACCACGTGGATCATTATTTCTGGCCTAAGCCAAGCAGAGAAATTAGGACCGCTCGTGTCCACAATATCTTATCTTTCCTCCTAACAATTTATCGTCACCCTCCACAAATACAAAGGATCAGAAAATGCAGAATTCAGTGGCATATACTTATATAGAACAGAATTCAAGATGTAAACTAAGTTATTAAAAAAGCAGAAACCAAAAACTAAGCAGAAGATATGGCGCATCATTTGCTAGCGAGCTACCATATATCAGGAAAACTCAGCAAAGAAATTTCATCATATGGATTTACTCCTTCTAGACCAGCTAATATTTTTAGGACAAGTAATTCATCTTCTTCTTCAGTGCAATACAGCAGCAGCAGCAGCAACAGTTTGACGTCGTCGACCGATCGGGAAGAAGTAGGGTTTGTGGGGAGTGGGAAGTTTGGTATTGACAGAAAGGGAGAGTTCAAGTATTTGGTGAGTGAGTTTGGTTGGAAGGTCAGGAGTTTGTTCAGAAATGGGGATGAGGTGAGGAAGGCAGCTTATGTTCAAGCTGAAGCATTTCATGAACCTGTATCTCTCTTCGATGATTTCTTCTTCACCTTCTTCCAGGTTTTTCTTATATCCTGTACTTTCTTATATAAGCGATATTTTTCTTTATAAATTTAAACTGATCTAAAGTGCAAGAGAGAAATTTAAACTCGGGTGCATAAGAGCCATATTTGCTTTAATCCTTTAACGAAAATGACTACGCCTCATGTCTGTTTAATATTCTTTCTTGTTTTTTGGTTACTCTTCAAATTTCATCATCATATATGGTCATAAGTTTTAGTTTAATTTGGTTTCTGCAAATACAGGCTGAAGTGCTTTCTGGGCTTGTATATAAACTTAGGAATTCACCCCCAGATAGGTAAACAATTTTACTTGAAAATTGCAATGTACATTGTTACAAGTATTATTTAGCGTAATAATTATGCGTTTTTATGGTATCTCATTAATAATTCAACAGATATGCTTGTTTAGTTGCTGAGTCTACCCCTGAAACTTCCGAGTCACAAGAACTTGTGGGAGTTGCGGACGTCACGGCGTCGAGGGACCAGGCCGTCCTTCAGCATCTCCCATCTAGGTCACCGGAATATCTTTACGTATCCGGCATTGCTGTTTTGAAGAGTTTCAGAAGGAAGAAAATAGCTACTGTCCTGCTAAAAGCGTGTGATGCGCTCTCAGTCGAATGGGGTTTCGAGTATCTTGCCCTCCGGGCATATGAGGATGATTACGGAGCTCGCCAATTGTACTCGAACGCAGGCTACCGAGTTGTCTCCAGCGATCCTCCATGGCTGAGTACTTGGATTGGCCGGAAACGCCGTGTTCTGATGGTCAAACACTCTACTAAGACATGATACGTTAAATCATTGTGTGTATGCAACATAAAGGTAGCGATTTTTAATGGTAAGTGTTAAAATCGCTAGTCATAAATGACGAACTGATACCATCGCTAACAAAGAAAGAACGACGATGTTCGAAAAGCCGGCAAAAACTATTAGCTTTTATAGTTTTATTAAGCTAAGAAGTTTGTCCAAAGAAAAAGTAAAATTAAGCTCTTTTTTTTTTTACCTTGGCAAAATTACAAATTTGGTATATGGATGGACTGGAGGGTTAGTTGTTCCTTGCGGAGAAACAATGGCTGTGCAAGTGAGGGCCTATATATCCATCATCCTACTAATTCATGAATTTCCGACAGTTGGGAGCTTTACATAGACACGGGACTTTGAATTCGTCAGGCTCGTTAGGATCGAACAAGTAATCGTACCTGCGAGAGTCAATAACGGAATATGCAGCAGCGTTAAGCTAATAGCTTCCTCGTAAAGAACTGAGAGACGGTGAGAGAGAGAGAGAGAGAGAGAGTAAGAGAGATACATACGTTAGCTCATCGCCGCAAGTTACATCAGCCTTTGCAATAAGTACAATCCGGCTTTCTTCATCACCCACACTCATGATCCTCGCATAGCAATTCGGCATGCACTGTAGTAAAGATAGGCAACAACAATAAATCCGTAAAGACAAGTCACGGAAACAAACTGACAACAAGAAGATGATTGAATCTATTGAAGAACGGTGGAGGAGCAAATCATGAACGGACAGTACCATAACATTTATCAGAATGACTTACCGAATGGTTGATCAGGCGTGCTATATTTCCTTTATCAGTGGCATCTACAACCACTTCTTCACTGATCTTAAACAACTGCAGAGTAAAACATGAGCCATGAGAAAAGAAGCAAAAACGGAAAGAAAAAGGAATGCAAGGCATTTAAGAGCTGAAATTCTAGCTGGAAACAGAACTTGGGAAACACGTGGCATGAGAGATAACTAGAGCAAATTTTGAAGGTAATAATTACACCACTTGAAAAGAATTCAACTCACATAACAGTCTTTGCCTTCTGATCTATACCGTGTCTCCCTAAGATCTGCAACACTACGTCTCACCTGTTCACCACGATATTCAAGAACCTGAAACAGACGCATGCTTCTTAGTACATTCTGTTTTCAACATAGTGGATTAACTTCTCAAGATACAAGAGCTTATACACTTAATGAAGGGAAATCATTTGAAAAGACAACGTTCAAATTCCATACCATTTCTCCTTCTTGTATGTCTCTACGGGCAAAGAGACCCCATCCATGTATCCCAGATTTACCAAAGCAAACACGATCGTGTTCTGTTCTCTGCATTCATGCACATATAGTAAGAAAATCAAACATTGAAAATTGAATGGGAAATGAGGAGGATACTTGCCTGTAAATGGTGTAGCCGTTCTCTAAAAGACGAAAAAGTTGGAGGATCCTCTACTACCTATTGAAAAAAAAAAAAAACAGTCAATTTGAGATTAGTTTATTTTAAATCCCATATAAAAAGGGAAATACTATTTCATCAAACCCTGAAAAGGTAAAAAAGTTACTCTGAATGTGTTCAAACTTCGAATTGCTTCCAAGGGATGATGGGAAGGTCCCTTCACATGGTGGGCAACAGTTTCTTCTTCTGCTCTCTAGAATCAGAGAAAAAAAAAACAGTGAGAAAAGATCAGGCTAATTACAGATCTAATAATTCAACAATCTAACTGTTTATATCAACTGAGGATCACTATAATGTGTATGGACAGATAACTAGGCATCAAGGTAGAATACCTTCTTGTTATTTTTCAATCTATTGTACACCCGGCACCTTGCAGCAGATAATGGCTCGGGCTCAGACTCAGGCTCTGTCATTTCAACTGTCAAAACCTCTTCAAGCTTTGTTCTATTAGATGAAATTAACCTTGAACCAGGCTTCTTCTTATTTTGGAGAAGGCTTTTCGCTGAAAACACACCTAGAGGAGTCTGTATGATTAAAACCGTATCTGGATTTGGAGCCCTGCACGAACAATGAAAAACAGAAGAGTTGGGAGAAACTTACATATGTACAAGAAAACCAACAATTTGGAAGCAAATGGACATAAGACAATATGAGAACCCACACCTGTGGTAAGCACAATAAGAAACCATTTTTGTGGTCTGTTTTCCATTTTTCTCCAAACAATGCAACTGCATATTAAGAATGCACATACAAATGCAATTACATATCACCAGATATATGAATAATCTGATTCACAACGAGAAGGTGCCATAGATATGAATATAATGAGAACGAACAAAGAGCAATAAGATACCTCCATGCGATAACCTGCCCTTGAGGCACACATTGCATGGTAATAAGTGGAACACTTGCAACATTGCGTGCATGAACCATGAATTTGCTTACAAATAACGCAAATCTGAAGCAGATGTGAACAACAAAAAAAACCTTAGATTGCATCCTCTAAATATTTCAGGGTTCAATCTGTAAGATAAAATTAAAAGAACAAACTAGACTCGCAATCAATGAGATACATTCTGGAACATTTCTAGATCCACTATGTCAAAGTTATCGCACAACTCAGTTCTTTATTCACTAATTGTAGATATGACGGGTCAGGTGTCACTTTTTTACATTACCATGTTTGTTACATTTAAGAATAGAAGTCTTCGAAAGAACAATGTCAAGTTCAATCATATGATTAGATGTAATGTATTGTAACCTTATCCTGAGTTTGCATTGGAATAGCCAAAAAACAATATACGAGAACAAAGAACCCACCTTCACAAAAGAATTTGATGGAATACTCAAGATGCCAAGAGCAGGCTCCATCTTTTCATCACTTGCAAAAGAGACTTCAGGTCTGAACCAAGCACATGTAATATGAACCCACAATCCGTCAATATCAGTTGGCTTTAACGCACCTCCTGCAGGGAAAAAGTAGATAAGCAAGATCAGATCAAAGACATGAGATCATGACAGCTAAGTGAAACTTGATGACAGGACAGTGTATGACTCAACGGATCCACTCTAGCCAGAAACTTGCCTTTGACAGGACAGAGGCAACATTCTTGCTTGACTTTGGGTGCTTCACATGCTTTGCAGACCCACGAAGTGAAATCCCGAACATTTCTTGCTCCATAGCATTCTTGATGGACAGCTATCTGACATCTGATCAAAATGAAACATTAGACATTTCCCGGTTTTCATGCCTTTATAACCCATGGGAGTCTCTAAGGGGCATCGCACAGTTGGTCCTCCGACATCACTGATTTGACAATGATAACTAATGAACTCTATTGATGATACCTATTGCAGATGATGATTTTGTTATAGTCCCAATCTTCAACCCATCTACATACAGCGCATCGTTCTGTTGTCCACTTGGCATGAACAGGTTCATACTTTTCTGTAATAGCAATCAGATAAATACAATTAGTTTACATCAAATGTAGAATTATATGCACAAATATAGAAAACAAATATACCTTGCAAAAAAGTAAGCAACTTCTGCTTTCGTTCTTTAATAGAAGGCCGTTTAGGGGGTTTAGAAGACACAAGAGCATTTTCATGATACTCTGCTAACTGCAACATCTGCAAAGTCAAGCGGGATTGCAATATGAGTATGATTCCCAAATTGAGAGGTCATAGGCCTACTATTGAACGATGGGGAGTAAACTCAAAGAATAGTACCCATTGTTCCAGTGGCAGTAAGGAACCTTTCACTCTGACACTAGTCCTCCAATTTCTCGATTTGGAACCTGTGTGTCGCTCCCATTCACTAAGTGCTTGCTTTTCTGCCCCACAGAATCCACAATTGCACACGACACTGAAACATAAGAAAGAAAATGTATATGAATAAAACATTTTCAGATGTCAAACCAAAGTAATAATCAAATTGACTTATTAAGGTAAAATAAATTAACGGTTAAGTAATATGAATTTAACCACCAAGACTAACATCAATTATAAGTCCTAAGAAAAAAGGAAAACCGTTCATTCTTATGCTTACGAGTGAAGACTTGGAAAATAAATGCCTTCCACGCAGTTGCAGAGAACAGTAACCTTGTTAGGCAGCACCAATTGACCATTATTTTTACTCCATCTGCATCAGAAACTCTATAATCAATAGGGACAAGTCGGTGAAATAATAAACCCAATTCACTCATAAAATTAAAATTTGGATAAACTTACTTTGCATTTGGTTGCCCCCTTTCAGAATCTGATAATTCAAAATTAAACTTGACTTTGCACGTAGGGCAGTAGTAATCAGTGGCTCCCAAGTTCTTCAAAAAGGAAATAACATAGTCAGGGAAGTCTAGAATCTCTTTAAACTAATTATGAATGAGAAAAACAACGAAGTTGGGTAATTTGCCATAATAGACGGACCTTAAAAACGTTGCTGGAAATTTTGTCACATTCTGCATGCACCCACACTTTACAACCATCACATCGGACCTACTCCCAATGCAAATATATTACAATAAATTGACAATGAACTGCACTCTAAAAATAGGAAGTATAAATCACAAGCCAAGCATAGTTTGTAGGTTTCCTCACCCAACTTCCACTGTCTGAATCATTCCAAATCTTCTTGCATATCCCACAATAATGTTTCGATTTTACTAACTGCAATAAGAATGATGCAAGTATTGTCAACAATGCACAATATCCAGAACGCAGAGAAAACCTTCTTTTACTTTTATTAAGAACTGAATTTAAAACCAATAAATAACACCTAACACAAGGTAGGTCATACTAACCCTAGCACACGATTTACAAAGATATTGGCCTCTGGGACTTGGATCCTTCATTTTCTTTATCATTTTAAAAGGAAAATACAAGCCGCAGCCTTCACAGGGTCGTATGTCTTTCTTCTTCCCATATACATCCTGCTCAACGGAACCAAATTCAATACACTGGACATAAAAAAGAGAAGTGTCTACTACTGCAGCGAAAACCTCCCCCTTTCAACAGCTGAGAGAAATAAGGAAAGTATATAGTTTGAACCCAAGGTATATTTACACTGGATAGCTAAGCAAAGAAGCACAGTTCTGTAAAATTCTCAATAATTAAGCAAAGCAATAGCCAAACTTCCATCAGCAACCCCGTTCTGATGATATCAAAACTGTTTGAATTAATTTTTGGATGGTGTTTGAGAAATTCTATGCTCAATATTGTGTCCTAGAAACTACACAATTTAAAAGACAGGAAACAGTGCTCTAAGAGAACTTGCCTGGTCCAGGTCATGGTTTGAACCGGTAGCCTCTTGAACCCCTCTCCGTACAGAGTCATCATACATTGCTGCCATATTTATATCCGCTATCAACTTTTCTGTAAACCCTTGTTCCACCAAAAATGCCTCCTCAATTGCCAACTGGAATTCACAGGGCTCGCAGTTGTTCAATTCAGGCTGCTCCTGGAACCTATATCAAGTAAAATGTTACATAACGACAAAGCGGTTACTACATTGCAATTCAAAAATTTATGAAACAACAATAGCCACACACCTGTCCACATAGTCCATAAAGGGAAAAATCTTCCCACGTTCAACCCAAGCATAATCCTGCTCAAGATGATACGAAATCTTAAAATAAATGCCACACTCTTCCAAACATGAAAACATCACAAGTTCATAAAAACAGATGAACTCCGTACGGAAAACAATTCATACCCGTTGATTCCCATTCCCAGAGTATCCAAAGAACATCACACAAGCTGCATCGGGTATGCAAGACCTCAAAACAAGCTCAGGCGCTTGCGACATTGGATCAATGACAATGGCAGGCCAGAAAGGCTCCTTTTTCCCTGGCATTGCCCACACTATATCGCCTGAATAGAAGTCTTCGGGTCCATACAAGCCATCTTTCCTCTCACCATTCTCCTTTGCAGCCCTCACTGTCTCCACTAAACCATTTCCTTCATCTATTTCCACAACTGCACACTTGTCATCTTCACCCAATTGCGCATGCATTGACGAGAGTGTGCTTGGTGAGCTCGAATACTTCCTATTGTCGAAACTCTTAAATGGCACACTCCCCTCAACTTCCTCCTCTTCATCTTCTTCACACAAAGCCGAATACTTCTTACTGTTATATCCAATTCCATCCACATTTCGCATCTTTTTCGTATTTTGGCTAACTAATTTCTGGGCTTTAAAGGTAGGTTTCTCTTTTTTACATTCAATCTCCTCATCTACATTATAATCTCTTAAACTAGTCTTACTTTCTTTCTTCCAATTCTCAATTACCGAATCATTAAACCGAGAAGGAAGTACCTGAACTCGGCCCCGCGACGTCCTCACCAGCGGCGGCCGCGAAACCTCCGTCTTCGCTGTGGTGGCTGACTCTCTGTTCTTCGATTTCGACTCATCCTCAGGGGAGCAGGAGACTCTGGTGCACCACGAAGCAGAGAACCCCGGCTCGGAGGCCCCGACCGAGCCGAGCAGGCCGTGGAGGCTGACGGGGATAATACTGGCGGCGACCTCGCCAAGCAGACTGAGAGGATAATACCCATTAGTCTTCCTCTTCTTCCTGCCCGAGTTATCGTCGTCCTCACCCGGTGACTCGCCGAGTTTGCACCTTTTCAGACTCGGCATTTGGGATTTGAGATTCTTCTTGATAATCATTGTATCAAAAAATGCAAAACTCAGAGGCCCCACGAATCGATGAATCCCATAAACCCAAAAGAGTAAATCTTTTCACTTCAACATCAACACCCACAAAACCCTTTTGATTTCATCAAAAACCCAATTCCCAAATCTCCTATAAACCCTAATTCCCAATTGGGTTTCCCCAAACAGAGTAATTGGAAACGATTCCCGCTACAGTATTTTTTTTTTCTCGGGAAACAAACAGAAAATTGGGAGAGAAACAGAGCAGAAAGAATGCTCGAGAATTAGACGAAAAGGATCGAAATTGAGAAGAAAAATGTTGGATTGGGAAATAGGGATCGATCTATCCAGGAAGTTTCTTCCCAACTGCTTCAGAGCGCAGAGAGAGATGAGGAATGAGACACAGGAGAGAGAGAAAATCAAATTGTTGTAATTGTAATGTAATTATGTCAAGCAGCTGAAGGAAAACCGTAAAATTCGAGACCTGGAAATGTCTCTCTTTTTAGAGAGAGAAAGAGCGAGGAGAGAGAGAGAGAGGGAGCGGGGAGTTAGAGAGAGAGAAGGGGGTCGGCGTTATCTTTCCAAAGCGTTATATTGGGGGGGAGAGAGAGAGAGAGAGAGAGAGAGAGAGAGAGAGGCTAACGTGCGCCTGACGCGTATAGAGCGCAATTCTTCCTGGCAAGGTCATGAGAGAGAGAGAGAGAGAGAGAGAGAGAGGGCATGGTCATCGTGGACAATCTGGTAATATAGTAACATTCTTCGGCCGTGTTCTTTTATTTTCGTGATTGTTTTTGCAGATTTAATTCGAGGTTGTTTCGTTTTAAAAAAATTCGTTGCAGAGGCCAAAACATGTCGCAACGTTTTTGTGTTCCAAGAAAGTTGGCAACTTTATATGCGAAACAACAATGTTGGCATCGAATCCAAGTTCTATGTTTTTCGTTTTGTTTCGATTCGCGTTAGTCGAAAGTTGAGTTAACTCGACCGAACTCAAAAATTTTGCAAACTTTAGTACGATGGTTTGTTTGGTCGATTGATGTTTGTTGGATTTTGGTGGTGGTCACCGGAGCACGGCGGCAGGCATAGGTACAGTTTTCAAATTCTTTAACTTTTTTCGGGGGGTATGATAGTTTGAAGCTCCACCAATGGAAATCAAGAATTTTCCCACTAATTTCTTTTTTGTGAGGTTATTTTGGGTATTTTGCTCTCAAAGAGTTTCATGTTGGTTGCCCTGCTAACAGGTCACAATTAATACGACGACGTCTGTGTGTAATTAATTTTAATTTTAATTTTTTCTTATGTTTAATTAGGAATTTAGGACAACCTTTGGAAATTAATCATCTGCGAGCCCTGGAAAAGGAAAAAAAATTGATAACTTCGAAGTTGTCCGGGGACGGAGATGGCCATGGTGGTGTTGGGTTGAAACTAATATGTTTCTGAAATTGAATAGCATCATGGCCTCCCTCTGTTTTCGATTGGCTACCCAACTATGGCAGATATGGGATCCTACTAACCCGAGAGTTTAAGAACGCATTTTGTGTGATTTTGCTCAAAATGAACAAATCTAGACCAATATAATCTTACTTAACTAGACTTCGTGTAGACAACCAATCACTTTAATGATTTGTTATACAAGTTCACACTACTATGTTCGACGACCTCTCCTTGTTTTTAGGCCCAAATGAAAGTTAGACATTTTCCATCAAATTTTTCGATTTGTAAATTTGTATTTTTCGATAAGTTTTTTCTTGGTTGCATCGATGGATAGCTCGTGAGAGACAGGTGATGATATTTTTCCCAACATTTTTGTATTGTGGGTTATGTTGCAAAGGTGGGTGTTTGTTTTTTGAGAGTGGTCGTGTTTTCAGGTGGATGGGTTTTTGAAAATAGGAACAAAGTTTGGTGATTTCGCGTAGAGATTCACCCACCTCCCACTTCAATTTTTTGGGAGGTCAACGTCAACTTGCAAGCACAAGATCATCGCCAAGCAATGTTTTTTTGGGGTTGAATTTACGAAGAAAATGATTAGGCACGGAGAAAATTTTGTGTCCAGTAGTCGAATCACGTGTTTACTTGTATACAGAGTTTCATGCATTACAATATCAGAACTCTTTAGTCCCACCTTGTGAGAAAGATGGCTTGCGCGGCCGCCCGTACGGGCGTACGCAACTTCTTTCTTCCACGAAGCTTTGGTGGTTATGGTGTTTCAACAAAGAGATGGAGCCGGAAGAGTTTTGTTCCAAGACTTTAGGAAATGTTACTAAAATTGGACACTAAAAGGGTTCGACAGCTGCAGCTTATGTTATGTTTGTGGGTCCATCCCTATCCCATGTTTTTGGAAGTTAAAATTTGGAACACACTTTAGACTGTACTTGTTCAGTTTGCATGGAGTTGTATAAGAAACTGGAAATGAATAGTTAGGAGTGGTAGGTAAGAACTAGGAGGGTTGCAACAGGACGACAGCGGCCGGAGCAATGAGGTGGTCACATGGCGGCGCGATCTCTCCTCCATTTTTAAGATGCGATCTGATTTTATTTGGATGAGTGGCATGTGAAGTTGTGTGAAAGAGTTTAAGCTAGGGTTCGAAAACTGTGAACTGCATAACTCAAGGAGTTGTTTGCTTTCTTACCATCTGCATATTGCAGTATGTTTTTATACAGTTTTACATACACCCGCATGCCAAAACAATAGTAATACGCATGCAATAAATAATGTGAGATCATGCAATTCTTCTGCCATCTTCGACAGGACTTCATGGGTTCTTTTTAGAATAGTCCTTTCACCATGTCAGCAGCACATGGATTATATGTCAGCAGCACATGGCTTATACTCAGGTAGTTTGAAACTGAATATTTTGTTTATCACGCCCCCGCGCAAGCTGTGGGGCCGACGAACAGGAAGCTTGGAAAGAAGATTAACTGAACCGTGCGGTGGACAAGCCCTTTGTTAAGAGATCGGCAAGTTGGTCATAGATGAAACATATCCCCAAACAAGTTCTTTCTAGTGACTTTCTCTCGAACATAATGATAATCAACTTCCACATGACGCATACGAGCCTAAAAACGGATTTGGAAGCCAGCACATTGCACACCACACTATTTGGTGGAGTGAGGGGAAGACGAAGATCACACCACATTTGGCGATGCTCGGCCTCCGACTTGATCGAGAAATCGAAATGACCTTTTTAGAGTGGGCACGCTGTGTAGGAGCCAGCGTACTCGCCTCAGTTGGAGCTGAAACACGCTGGGTTTGCTTAAAAGTCAAGATAGCTTTCTAAAAATAATGTTTTGAAACGAGCGACGATCATGAGTGGTCACGCAGAGTTATTACAGCAAAGCAATGCTTGTGGACAAGAATAACGGAGTTATATATTCGAGACGCGACAAAAGTGCTTCAAAATAAAGCGAAGAAGAGCGTTTGACGGAACCCAATGACGTGGTGGGCGATACATATAGCAGACTTGTTCACATGCCGTTAACGTAACAAAGGTTGGCGTCCGCCAAGCTCGTAATTTGTCAGCAAGGTTTTCCAGGTCCCATTTTGATTGTGTTAAGTCAAGGAGGTCCCAGGGACCAATCGGAGAATTTTCGACCCAAATTGATGATCAGGAAAATAATGGTAGGTTATTACCGGTGACGAGGATTGGGAGTCATGAACTAATAGCGTAAATGACATTAGTTCCATTGCAAAAAATGAACAGCGAAGAATCTGCCATGGAGGCTTGAAGCCGAGCTCCTCCAAGATGGTGAGAGAAGCACTGAAACCAGGCACGTGGAGCCTGTTTTAAGCCGTATAAGGACCGGCGAAGAACGGCATACATGTGACGGGAAACTGCGGATCGACGACAAAAACCAAAGTTGGGCGGTAGACTTCTTCATTTAAAGAGCCATGAAGGAACGCATTTTTACGCAAGTTGGCGAATTGGCCCCAGTTAAAATGAAGAGCCACGGAGAGAATGATCCTGATGGTAGCATGAGTGACGACGGACTAAACGTCTCAACTGTAATCAAGCCCTTCTTGTTGATGGAAACCATTGGCAACAAGACGTGCTTTAAATCTTTCAATGGATTTTTCCGTCAGATTTCCGTTTAATACGGTAGACCCATATTATCATGGAGGGTAAGGGAATTCAGGGACCCACGTTCTGTGCTTTGTAGAACCATTGAACTATTCTGCCATTGCAAGCGCCATCGGGAGACTTATTTGCTGTGTAAAAACAAGAGGGCTCAACAAGTTCATTAGTCCATCAAGAAACCAAGAGCATACTTGGGGTTTGGCTTCTTGAATGCCATCCTTTGAGCGTGGTAACCATGGAGTGAAACAGGTTTGAATTTGTCCTCTGAGAGGAAGGTGAGAACAGGAGCAACACCCACCCTGTGCAGCAAAGGTGCGGATGGGATAGAGGAATAGGGAAGAAGGGGCAGGGGGTGTGTGGTTTGGGGAAAGTGGTTAAAGGGCAGGAAATATAGGCTAGGTTGGTGGGTGATGGGAATGTGGGAATAAAGGTTGGACTTGGGGGTTTGGATGGTAGATTTGGGAAAATGGGGAAGAGGGAATGGGGGGGTCAATGTTCAGTACCATAGACGATGGGAGGATGAGACGTTTAGAAATGGATTCTTTGTATGGAAAATTGGTTTCATCAAATGGAACATGGCGACAAAAAAAATTGCGACCTGTGGACTATCTAACCTATAACCTTGTTGATTTAATGAATAACCTAAGAAAATGCAACGTTTGGAGCGAAATTGCAGCTTGTTAGATTATAAGGAACGAAGAAAGGAAAACATGCACAACCAAAAACTTTAGATTATTTTTGAAACAGTTTTTGAAAAGGAGACTCATCATGGAGAAACTTTAGTGGTTAAAACGATTGATCAAATAGTTTGCGTATGGAAAGCATCATCCCAAAAAGAAAGTTGGAGGAATGGCAAGAAGAGTGAGACCAGTTTCAACGATATGACGGTGTTACGTTCCAAATTCCATTTTGTTCAGGATGATTTGGACATGTTAAACGATGTAGAAAACCCATTGTTGTCCAAAAAATTTTGAATTTGTTGTTTACGTACTCTCCCCTCCTCATCATTTGAAAGATTTATTAAAGGTTCTTAAAAGACACAAAAGTGAGAAAAACATCAGATTTTAATTTTAAGGGATATAGCCAAGAGTAGCGAGAAAAATCATCAATAAACACGACATAATATTTAAAACCATTGATAGAAAAAGAAGGTGAAGTCAACATGGAATGAACCAATTGTAAAGGAGATGAAGACCTAGAGACAGACAATGGAAAGGTAACTTGTGTCTTGTGATCATGAGTGACATGAGTGACCATAACATGTAGTACAACGTCCTTAATAAATTTTGCAAAATAATTTTGCAACGTGAAAGATGATGAACCTAACCAAAGAAGTGAAATAGTGAATAACAGCTCTAGTTTTAAATGGACAGATGGAAATTGAACACCAGAAAAAGGGTAGAATCCATTCCCTACTCGGGGCCTTGTAAAGCATCTCCCCCGTGGAGTTCCTGAACACAGTATGAGTTGGGATATAAGGTTAGAGAACAGTTATTATCGTAGTAAAACGATGGATAGAAATAATATTGGTTGATGCATTAGGGCATAGTAGTGTATTAGGTAATGTGAAAGTAGAGG